GAAAGAGCACTGGGCGTGCAATGGTGCGTATCCTCTGATGACTTTCAGTTCAGAGTAACTGTCAAGAAACACCCAATGACGAGAAGGGGAGTGCTATCCACAGTAGCTTCCATCTACGATCCTTTGGGTTTCGTAGCACCGTTTGTTTTGCGTGGGAAGTTGATCTTGCAACAGTTGAGTCGAGAGAAAGCTAGTTGGGATGAACCACTTTCAGAGGAGTGCAGATCACAGTGGCAGTCATGGTTACAAGATCTCCATAACTTGCGTCAAGTAAAGATTAAGAGGTGCTATATACCAGCAAGCTTCATAGATGTCAAGCAGTACGAGTTACATCACTTCTCAGATGCTAGCTTCACAGGTTATGGGGAGTGCACTTATCTAAGAGCAGTGGACTCTAATGGCAGGGTACACTGCTCACTTGTCATGGGGAAAGCACGTGTTGCCCCCACTAAGGTCACAACAGTTCCAAGGCTTGAGTTGTCTGCAGCAGTGGTTGCTGCGAAGATGGGTGCCATCTTAAAACATGAGCTCGAAATAGACAACCTTAAGGAATATTATTGGACTGATTCAAAGGTTGTTCTCGGGTACATTAATAATGATGCCAGACGCTTTCATGTTTTCGTGGCAAATAGGATCCAGAGAATCAAAGCCACCACAGATGTCAACCAGTGGTATCATGTGCAGTCCGAAGACAATCCGGCGGACCATGCTTCGAGAGGGTTATCGGCAGATCGGCTCGTTGCTTCAAATTGGTTCACTGGCCCAGACTTTCTGTGGGAAAGGGAGCTACCCACAAGAGATGCTAAGGTGGGAGAGGTTAGTGATACTGATCCAGAACTTCGAAGGGCTCAGGTGCTCAACACCAGCGCAAGGATAAATAGAACATTGTTGGACCGCCTGACTAAGTTTTCTGACTGGAAAAGAGTTGTTAAGGCTATTGCTTGTCTTAAACGTCATGCTAAGCAAGTTAAGGGTCTTAGTCCCAAACTCAATGGAAGTACAAGTGTTGAGGAAAGACAACAAGCTGAACTTTTCCTAATCAGATTGGTCCAAACAGAAGTATTCAGCAGTGAAATCAAGAATTTACAGCAATCCAAGGACGTAAAATCCAAAGACAAAGCAAACAAGCTATGCAAATTAAGTCCATTTTTGGATGAGCAGGGTGTGCTGAGAGTAGGCGGACGCTTAACAAGAAGTGATCTTCATACACATGTTAAACATCCTGCTATTCTGCCAAAAACAAGTCACGTGTCTTCTTTATTGATCAAGCATTATCATGAGAAAGTACAGCATCAAGGAAGAGGTATGACTGTAAATGAGTTGCGATCTAATGGGATATGGGTCATTGGATGCAGCAGTGCAGTTGCCTCACATATCTTTAAGTGCGTCACATGCAGAAAGTATAGAAGGAACATACAAGATCCAAAAATGGCAGACTTGCCAGAGGACAGAATGGAAATGACCCCTCCATTCACATATTGTGGCATGGATTGCTTTGGACCATTCTATGTGAGGGATGCAAGAAAGGAACTGAAGAAGTATGGTCTTCTCTTCACTTGTATGTGTTGCAGAGCTGTACATATCGAAATGCTTGATGACCTCAGTTCAGATGCCTTCATCAATGCATTGCACGTATTCATTGCAATACGTGGGAATGTAAGGCAGTTGAGATGTGATCAAGGTACCAACTTTGTGGGTGCAAAAAGAGAGTTCATGGACTCAATGAAGAACTGGGATCATGAGCAGGTGAAGGAATATGGCTGTGAGTTTGTAATGAATCCCCCATCATCAAGCCATATGGGAGGAATTTGGGAGAGGCAAATAAGGACAATCAGAAGTGTTCTAACAGCAATTCTTGATCAGTCTGCTAAAAGACTTGACACCGCCTCACTTAGGACTTTTTTGTATGAAGTGATGGCTATTATAAATAGCAGACCGCTGACAACAGAGCACCTGAATGATCCAACAAGTCTTGAACCGCTCACACCAAATCACATTCTTCTGATGAAGTCTAACATCATATTGCCACCTCCGGGTCAGTTCGTGAGTCAAGATTTATACCTGCGTAAGAGATGGCGTCAGGTGCAGTTCTTGGCGAATGAGTTTTGGACAAGGTGAAGGAGGGAGTACCTTCTTAATCTCCAGCAAAGACAGAAATGGCATGGGGATAAAAGGAACACCAATGTCAATGACATTGTTATTCTTCAAGAGGACAGTGCTCCGCGAAATCACTGGAGACTAGCAAGAGTCACGGAGGTGTACCCCAGCTCTGATGGAAGGGTCAGAAAGGTAAAGCTGTTGGTTAGTGACTCAACTTTGGACAAACAGGGAAAACGCACAACTAGGCCAGTTTATCTTGAAAGGCCAGTGCAAAAAATAGTACTACTTGTTGAAGCAGAATAAGCATGTGTTAAACTAAATGCTTATAACTTGAAGATGCAAATCTGTGAAGAAATCTCAAGTTGAGATTTGGTGGGAGTTTAACTGCCATAAATGTAAATTATGTCAGTTTGTTTAATTTATTGTGTTCATTTATGTTATTTATTTTCTTTATTTATTGTTCCTTTTGGGGTAGGAACTAAGGTTCATTCTGTGTTGCACACAGGCCTTTTTAAGTGACGTAAAGGGAAGTAAAAAGCATGTGCAAGAAGCTAAGTTAATAAGTTAACTAAGGCAGAAGAAGGAATAAATAAGCAGTTTAAAGTAAAAGAAAGCTGCAAAGAAGAAGAAATTGGGAAGAAATTATTTTTGTTAAGTTTTGTTCCTGAAGCGGACTCATTCCCTCACGGTTACGTGCAGCCAGCGAGGTACGTTAACTGTGTTTGTTTATCGCGTATTTGTTAACTTGGGTTTAAATGTTTATTTGTAATATTTATGTTGGTCATTCTGTACTTTTATGTAATAACGGTTTGACGGTGGATTTTATGGTGTTTCTGAGGAGAAGTGTGACAGAAGAATAAATCCATCTGTGAATGAAGAACCGTGGTGTCGTGTATTAACTGGAGGGAGTGATAAAGCAGACCTAAAAAAAATCACTTTGGATGAACAGTATCTGCAACTCATGTCCGTAGGAAACAGGAAAAATCCAGCAAAGACCTGACACAGGACCTGAGAGATGATACTGAACTTTTAGGTGATCAGCTATTGTTCAGCGAAGGCTCATTACAAATTGTCTCAGTGGAAGGATAACAAGGAAGTCATTCTTAAGAAAGAGAAATGAGGAGAAAAGGCTGACATATGCCAAATTACACAAGAACTGGACTGAAAATCAGTGGCAACAGGTCTGATGGAGTGATGAATTCAAATGTGGTTAGAATCATTGTCAGGATATGTGGAAGAGGTTATGAGAGAGGTACAACAGTGAGTGTCTACAGTCATCTGTAAAACACGGTGGAGGCCCTATCATGGTTTGGGGCTGAATTTCAACCAGTGGTGCTGGAGTTCCTGCCGAAACTGATGCAATTATGACCACAGAAATGCACCATCAGATTGTGATTCACAATGCAATACCATCTGAAAAGCAACTAATCAGGAACAGCTTCATTGTTCAGTATGACAATGATGCAAAACACACTATCAATGCAGTAAAAGCATACAGTACCAGTCATGGATTGACCTCCCCAGAGCTCAGGCCTCAACATTACTGAAACTGTGTGGGAACATCTTGACAGAGGACAGAGGGAAAAGGCAGCCAACGTTCAAAGAAGAGGTTTGAATGTCCTTCAACAAGCCTTGAGAACTATTCCTGAAGACTACTTAAAGAAATTAAAGGAAAGCTGACTAAAAGAGTTCAGAATAAAGGTGGTCATGCCAAATAGTGACTACCAAACTCATTAGAATAAACTTTTCCAGAGTACTAAAAGTACTATTTTCTGGATAAATGTATACATTCATGATGCTATGTACATATCCACATGTAGTACATATACATATGTCCATACATAGTGAGAGTGCTGTTAAGACTTTAATGTAAAAGTGACTCAGGCGTTCTTGAGACATGATAATAACATAACATCCTGCTTTTTGTCCTTTCTTCTAATCATTCTAATGACTTTGTGACTATGGCAACGACTAACAGTGACACTCATTTGTCTCAAGTGATGAGCTGATGACAGCTTCCACAGGCTGTGAGCGCCTATTTTGCAATAACTTTGAGCTGATAAACAAGATCCAGTAACAAGTGAGTTTAATCTGTTCCGTTCCACAGGCAGGAGTTCTGGAAGTCAGACTTTGGCAACAAAAGCTGGCTCTCATATCATGAAATTTGAACTCTTGGGCACAGAAGGAGCCAGCGCTGATGTCAGAGAAGGCTTTTGATTCAACCCAAGTAATGAGACTGGGGACTTTTCTCCCCAAAGGTTGGCTAAAGCAATGATATGGTTGCCACAGTTGAGCTAGTTCTGACCTTTAGACAGGTTTGAACGGTGAACTTCTTACAGTGGCTTTTCCCATAACCACAGATGTGACTGGTTCCAACTTTCTAACTTGTGCCCAGCAATTCTGGCCCTGGTGCCAGTCATTTGGTGAAAATGCATGAAACTGGTTCTAGAGTAGGCACCAGGATTGGTGCTTCATTGGTGAAAAAGAGGTAAATGTACAGTTCTGGGCTGCCCTCAATGAACAAAGACCAACAAAAAAAGAACTGCAGTGCTCTCTTGAGTCGCGGCTCCAGACATCTGTTATTACTGCGCCAAAGAAGAGTACAAAGAATGGAAACACACAGCAAATGAATTGCAGCAACTGGCCTTAGCTTACAGTTCAATAGCTATTGTCATCATACCAGCATACGTAAGTCCAACCTGGTGCTGTACCCATGTGTATTCGATCCAAGGATCAATCAGTGCTCCTGGAATTACTGGTGATTACGGAAAACAAGTGAGAACTAAACAACTAAAAGGGATGATACGGAGCAAAAAAAGCCCAGCCATAAGGAGCTGTGTGTGGGTGGGTGTGACAGGTGGATTTGGATTATCTCTCATAATAAAACAAGAGGAGCTCACCTGGGCTGCTGTCCATGTCAATGTGTAAAAATGAAGGTCTTTCTGCCAGTAGGGGTCGCTCTAATACATGGTCGTCGAAGAAACTGTTAAATAATTCACTGCTGAAGTCGTCCATCTGGTCACCCGAGAAAGGCTGGAAAACATATACAGAAACAGACACAGACAAAGGAGTATTTAGCTGACGTTACTTTATAAAACCACTCTGGTACAATGAACCTCATGCAATTCAACGTTCAATGAAAAGCACAAGGATAAAGACAAGGGAAGATGGGCTCAAGGTATGGCGCTCAAATGCTTTTCTTTCTCCAACCAACAGTGCAAATCTGAAAACATCCAGCTTTCAGTGATATAAAAAAGACAAAAGTGGCAACCTTAGATAAGCTGGGACAAGAAAATAGCTGGAAAATTACTTCATTTTCTGCAAATCGACTCATCAAATAATGGACCTATAGTTTCAGTTCTACGACAGACTTATCTCTCAGTGTCAGAAACAAGACAACATAGGCTGTGTTGATGACACGAAGAGTCAGTCAATGGGAAACAGCATTGACAGATTAATCCTCTAGTCTGGATGAATGAGTCACTGAGCAGAGAGAGACGGTGTTCTGGAAGCAAGGGACAGCACGGTGCTCTGATTTCACTGGTTTATGCACACATAAATACGCACACACACACACACACACGATATGAGTCACCCTGGTCTTCAGAAAACATGGGAAAAGCTGAACCAAAGCCTATGCGCACATACACATGGGTTGGTTGGAAACCCATCAACACACTGCTTGGAGGCTCTTCAGACACAGTGACAGAAATAACTTGATTTAATTAGCAAGAAACACAAAAGTTGATTTACATGTTTTATTCCTGGAAATTAGCTTAAGCGAGGCTCCCAGAACTGCCAGAAGTGTCACAACAGATAAAATCAGTCCAGGAGCAACAATAAAGACATGATTGGGACAATAAATACAAGGCTTACCTCAATATTTCAAATACTAACAATGGATCATATGCACGGAGGGAAAGGGCTTGTAAGAACTGTAAGAAACCGACTGAGGGCTACCAACGGAGCTGACATAAACACTAAGTTTTAGAGCACATTTTAAATTTGATAGGTAAACATTACTTTCTAAGCGTTCCTGTTATGATTAGATTCCCGTGTCTGTCTATTATGGGGGAATTATTTTCCCCCTGTGAATTAATACTATCAGATAGAGCTCACATGAGCAATTTACTTTTAACAGATTTAACCTCTTCAAAAGTATATCTGACTTTTATTAATTGGCTTTATTCAAATGTTGCTGAATGTATCCATCAAAAAACATTAAAAAAAAAAACTCTGCAGAGCTCGCTTAATAACCATGACTGCATTTGAAAGTGGGGGTGGAAGTGTATTTGAATGTCTGTGAAGGTTCTCAGTCATCCAGGTCATCGTAGTCAAAGGAGCTTGCAAAGAAAAGCGTCTGGACTTCTTTAAGTTGCTTGAAGACGTTTCACCTCTCATCCGAGAAGCTTCTTCAGTTCTGAGCATTCCTCGCTGCACTGTACAGCACTGCACTGTACAGCACTGTACAGCATACAACTGTATGCTGTACAGTGCAGCGAGGAATGCTCAGACCTCTACATTGGAGAGACCAAACAGCCACTTCACAAGCGCATGGCACAACACAGAAGAGCCACCTCCACAGGACAAGACTCAGCAGTCCATCTGCATCTTAACCCTTGTATGGTGTTCGGGTCTGTGAGACCCGTGTTCAGTTTTTTTCAAAAGAAAAATTAAACAATTAATTATTTTTTCACGTGTAAATGTGTTGTGTCTTTCCACTCACTCCACTTGATTATAACTGATTTATTTATAACATTTTATATAAAAGAAAAACGAGAAGCACATTAATTCATAAATGTGATCTAACAAAGGTAAAGGGAAAAAATTAACCATGTTTGCTGTTCATAAGTGTCTTGTAATTGGGATGAAGTAAACATCTGTTGAGTAATTTAACATAAAATTGTTTGATAGTGTTAATTTGGAAAGCCAAAACTCTAGCGGGTCCACCAGACCCATGAACACTGGCTGAGTAACAAAAATACGAACACCACACAAGGGTTAAGGATAAAGGACACTCTTTCGAGGATGCCAATGTTCACATTTTGGACAGAGAGGACAGATGGTTTGAAAGAGGAGTGAAAGAAGTCATCTATGTCCACTGTGAGCGACCATCTTTGAACAGAGGCGGGGGTTTACGACACCAACTCTCTGCCATCTATAATCCAGTTTTGAGATCCCTTCCCAGACGCCTTAACGCCCACTCACATCCTGGGCCATCTGACCTCAGGAATTTGCATGATAAGGTGGGGCCAGGTTTCACAATGAACACACCCGAAACTCTGGCTGATTGGGACCCACACCCAGTTTCACACCTTGGCTCAGGCGATTAGAGGATCATCAGGGGGTCCTTTTGTCCCTCTGTGGGGGGTCACTCCCACTAGGTTTATATCTGGGACTCTCCACCATTTGACCTTAGAACTGAAGAAGCTTCTCGGATGAGAGGTGAAACGTCTTCAAGCAACTTAAAGAAGTCCAGACGCTTTTCTTTGCAAGCTCTTTTGACCAAGTGTATTTGAACTTCGGGGTATGTACTGATGAACGGACATCCTCCTTCAGGATTTTCTGGTAAAGCGCAGAATTCGTGGTTGCATCAATTACAGCAAGTCATCCGGAAGCAGCACAGCAGCTGCAGACGATCACACTACCACCACCATGTTTAACTGTTGTTATGGTGTTCCTTTTATGAAATGCTGTGTTAGTTTTATGCAGACGTTACGGGACTCAAACCTTTCAAAAAGTCCAACTTTTGAATCATCAGAATAGTCTCTCAGACGATCAGGATTTTTTTCAAGATGAATCATGAACTTTGACCTTAACTGATGCAAGTGAGACCTGCAGTTCCTTAGATCTTGTTCTGGGTTCTTTTGTGAGCTCCTGGATGAGTCGTCGATGCACTCTTGAAGTCATTTTGTTAAGCAGTCATCTCCTGGGAAGGTTCACCACTGATCCAGGTATTCTCCATTTGTGGATAATGGCTGTCACTGTGGTTCACTGGAGTCCCAAAGCCATAGAAATTACTTTATAAGCCTTTTCAGAATGATAGATGTCAATAACTTTGTTTCTTATCTGTTTCTTTAGATCAAGCCTATTTCACTTTATCAGACATGTTGTATTTAAATGATTTCGTGACTCAAGAGGACTGGCAGCAATCAGGACGGAGTGTGACTGGTGACATTGAACTCAAGTTTCTAAGAAAAATGTGGTTAATAACTGTTAATTCATGATTTAACAATGAGGGAAGTTACTTTTTTCACAGGGGGACAGTTAGGTTTGGAGGTAGGGAGGAAGGTTCGGGATTTGGAGGTTCAGCAGACATGCAGCAGATGTACAGGTGCAAATGAAAATTTTAAAGATCTCTGCTACACTGAGGTGCTCCGGGTGGCCTTGACAGTAAGCCAGGAAATAGTCCTGCACACAACGGCAACTGTAATTATATGTATTTCTGTCCTATATCAACACATGCATCTTTTAAACCCACCTACGCATGTGTGAGTCATGGTCCGCTGGAGTAAAAAAAAAAAAGATAAAAGGAAGTCCATGAACCAGATCAATTTTTGTACCTGAACCTCAAGGCTCACTGAACCTCCAGGCAAAAAAGAAGTGTGTACATACGCAAGAACCCGAATGATATATAGCTCACGCTATGATATGAAAAGTTTAGTTGGTTCCAAATCAGCGTGCAAACAACAGCGCAGTTTGTCCAGGACGGTGGCTCCATCAAATAAAAAGCTTTCTGTTCCATATTCACATTCTCAATGTCGCTCTCTTTTAATCTTGTGTTTTGAATTCATCCATACTTTCACTTCCTTTACTACCTATCCACCTCTGGGTTTGCCCTATCCTAAGGCAAACGACTGGGTAAACCCTGGACAGGTTGCCAGAAAGGCAGACATGAACCCAGAACCTTCTAGCTACAGGGAGACAGTGCTAACCACTACATGACTGTGCTGCCTATTATAAACTCAGCAAACTCCTTCTGTTTATAGTCATGCAAATTCCAATAAAAACGCAGTCGCTGCTTAGTGCAGTTGAAGCCAAGACAGCATAAGCCAAGCCTCAGGTCAAAAACATCTATGAACAAGAAGTAAAGTCAAGGTTTCTGTAGCAGTGAACCTGCGGGGTCTTGGCCACCCGTCGTCCTCCCTGTGGCTTTTGTGCAGTTTTCCCGAGGTGCAAAGTCTTTCACTGCAGACCTCCTGCGGTAAAGGACTGTGTTTAGCAGGGCCTGGCGGTTGCTCTTTTGACATGGATGGTCCAAAACACCCTCTAGTGTGAACCTAACTCAGTGGTGAAATACAATGCAGAAGGTGCAGTCATCTCATCATTTTCCCTTTTGAATATAACTCATGTATACAGTAATCCAAAATGACCAGATATTAGCTCATATCTTAGTATCAGTCTAGCATACACTCAGTGATCCTCTTTCACATGTGCATACTCGCCCATTCATACACACATACAGGAATAGCATATGCATCGTGACAAGAGAAGCCCTGTTGCACTAAATGCCATCAAAATATCCGTTTAAGTAACCTCGACACTGCCCCTATAATACTGCTCCATTAGGGAATATAGGTCACATTTAAAACCACCCTATTCAAAAACAAATCGAGAAAAGTTTCCTAATTGCGGTCATAATGGGAGTGATGTAGAGAGAGGGACAGAGAAAAAGCAGAGAAAGGTCCATAATTGAAGCATTATGCATCTAAAATTAGTTCTAGTAGCTGCATTAGCTCAACAGTGCAGCCAATATGTGGTTTTCTCTTTATTCTGCTATACTGTGTTGGGTTTTACTTCATATTTGTCTACATTTGGCTTCAGTTTTGCATTCAGCTGGAAGAGCGACTCTATTTTTGGGAGGTTGGTTTGTTTTCCACTTGCTTACCTCCAACACACCTGGAGCCTTCGATGCAGCTCTCACCCAATACAAGCACAATCCTGTGTGAGGTTAATCTTTTGCTTATCCATCACCTGGCATTGGGTTGATGTATGCGCGGCCACGCTGACTTTTTCCCCCCCCTGCATCCTGC